TTGAAACTTCGAATCCCTCAGCTGCTCTGTGCCAGAAAGATGTAGAAGTTTGGATTAAAGCCTTGTAAACCTATGGGACAGTTCTACCCTGGCCTAGAAGACCATTAAGAGTCTGAATTGACTCCATGGAAAGGGACTTCATTTTTCTTTTTTCTGGTATACATTTAACATTATATTGTTATACTGAATGCATCTCTTTCCTTAGCTTTTTGACAACTGCTTTTCATTTTGGAAATACTAATTCTTTTAATAAGTTTTCATAATAATGGCTTCAATGGAAATATACCTAAACCCCAGTAGTCTCTAAGGAGACAGTGAAATGTGAACCAACTTTAAAGTCAAAGTACAACACAAAGACAAGGCATTATTACACTTTGGTTTTTGTCACTGTACTATGTGCCGCAATTAGTACATTTGTTCTTTGTCCGAGAACTCTGCCCATAAGCAGAGAGCCAGTAAAACTGGCTCTGGACCATCTTGACCAAGAATCCCTTTCAGGGAAAGTACACGCCTACAAGCCCGTGGTGCCCCAAGTCTTAGGTAACCTCGGTTCCGGGGCGGTCGTTTGCACAATCAGGAGCGCTCGCGGACCCGCGCCCGCCCGCAGCACGGCCCAATACACGCCGGTCCCGCGACGCCCAAGCAGCCGCCGCCACCGAAGGACGCCAATCTCAGCCTCTGCGGGTTGCAGTTCCGCTCTTTTCCACTTCGTTCTGCCCCACAGCGCGGCGGCCCTAAGCCTAACGCCTCGCCCATGCTGTGGGCCACTAAGGGGGTTCGCCAGCTGCTCCACACCCTTTTTCCTGTCCCAAGAATGGGCGAGTCTGCTTCTAAAATCGTCAGCCCTCAGGAGGCCTTGCCCGGCCGGAAAGATTCGATACCAGTAGCCGGTAAGGAGGCGAACACGCAGAGGGCGCGGTCGCTACTGCTGCGCAAGCTCGCGAGTTCTGGGCGGTGGTTTATACTCCGCCAGCCCGGAAGACTTGGGCCAGTCCGGGTCTGGTGTTTGTTGGGGTTTCGCGCAGGCGCGATGAAGTGCCAGCCGGGAAAGGAGGAATAGGAAAGTTAGAGCTGACTCTATTCTTTGTTTTTCTTAGTTTCTCACCTTGTTAAGACAAAATAAAACAAAACACTCTGAAGGAATCTAGTGTGTTGGTGTAACTCACCAATTATGTAAATAAATAACCTGGCAGGTCCAAACTTTGAGTGGAAAAAGCATTGATTTGACTTCCCGCTCTTTCTGACAGAGGTGTGCCACAGTGATGTGTTTTGTGTCCTCCCTTTTCTTTTTTGCACGGGGCGCTGTTTCCAGCCACTCACATTGATCTTGCAGTGTTGAAATTGTATCCCGATCCAGTATTGTGGTGCTGACTTTATCCTCAGTCTCCTGTTACTATTATCCTCTAGGACTCTACTCACCCACCATTGCCATAGAGTCTATTCCAATTCATAGAGACCTTTTAGGACAGAGTAGAACTGCTCCAAGTTTCTAAATCTTTACGGAGCGGACCGCCTCATCTTTCTCTCATAGAGCGGCATGTGAGTTTGAACCAATGATCTTTTGGTTAGGAGCTGAATGCTTTAACCATTGTGCCACCAAGAGAGCCTTTTAGGCCACCCCAGGTTTCGCCACTTGACAGAAGCTGCCCTTGCCTGAGCTCCCTCTTTGGCCTGGACCTAAGTGGGTGGTCCACATTCTCAGGTGAGGTGGGCTTGTGCCTATCAGTGTTGCGAAGGGGTCATTTTTGAGCAACTTTTCTCAAACTTAAAAAAAAAAAAAAAAAATCCAGTCAACACTTTTGGAAAGTATAGTAATAACTGGAAAAATGACCACGTGCTTGCATGCCATACCTGTTGCCCCCTAGTCAATTCTGATTCATATGCACTACTGTCTTGGTGGCACAGTGGTTAAAGCTCTGGGCTGCTAATGGTTGGCAAATCCACCAGCCTCTTCAGAAAAAGATGTGGCAGTTTGCTTCCATAAAGATTACAGCCTTGGAAACTCTATAAGGCAGTTTGTATTACACAATAAAATTAAATTGTTAGAAATGTCTTCAAAAGCATACTCTTGATTTCTGTCTCATACTGGTAACAAACAGTTCCAAGAGAGCACAAGTCCACTGCCTGAGAAGTAGGATAACCTTAAAACAGTGATTCTCAAACTGTGACCCCCAGAACAGCAGCATTTATATCACTTAGGGGGCTTTACCCCTGACTACTGAATCAGAAACTGGTTTTTAGCAAGCTCTCTAGGTGATTGTAATGCATCCTATAGTTTGTAAACTAGTGTCTTAGAGCTCTGGATGGTCAGATGATGAATAATCTTTTACTTATAGTTTAATGCCAAGATAATTCCTGTATTTAAAAATGTCCTAAGAGTTCTTCTATTTTTCTTTTCCTTAAAAAGTTTTTGAGTATGGAAGGAGGTCATGGTGAGCGTTGGTACCTTCATATACAAAACTCAGTATGAGATTAGAAAGGTGGAGGTTTGTTGGATTTGAGGCAGTTTGGAAACTGAGGCTGTGTGACCTGTTTCTCATTCACCTACATTAGCAATTTATATTCTCTGCTTCTCTGATCATTTCACCTCCAACCCTATGCCACTTATTCTCAGCCCTAGAAGTTTATTTTTGGCTTAGATTCAGAGATTGAATTTTGAAAGAAAAAAAAAATCCAATTTTTCTTTATTTTATCTAGACTTTCTTAATTTATTTGAAAAAATAATTCTCTTAAAAAGAAAATTCATAAATGGACATTCAAAATCAATACTTTCTAAATGATGAACTTCCCTAGCTTGTACTATACTGTTTTTACACACTACAATGTCTTTGGTATGCCCTCCTAAACACCTGAAAAACAAACAAAAACTCCTTTATCAGATTTCTAGACCAGTTCAAGATTTTACCTTTATCTAAATTTGTTGTCCACCACTTGTCTGTCAGTTTGTGGTACTATGCATATTGGTGTGAAGCTGGAAACTATGCCACTAGTATGTCAAATACCAGTAGGGTCACCCATGGTGGGCAGGTTTCAGCAGAGCTTCTAGACTGAGACAGATTGGGAAGAAGTACCTGGAGATCTACTTCTGAAAAAAATTGGCCAGTGGAACACTGATATAATGCCAGAAGATGAGTCCCTCAGGTTGAAGGCATTCAAAATGCAACTGGGGAACATATGCCTCCTCAAAGTAGAGTAGACCTTAATGACGTGGATGGAGTAAAGCTTTTGGTATCTTCACTTGCTGATGTGCCAAGATTCAAAATGAGAAGAAACAGTGGCAAATATCCATTAATAATCAGAACATGGGATGTATGAAGTATAAACCCAGGAAAATTGGAAGTTGTGGAAAATAAAGTGGAATGCTTCAAGATCAAGGCATTAGTGAGCTGAAATGGACTGGTATTGGCCATTTTGAATTGGCCAATCAGTGGGCACATCCATTCAGGAAAAGTGTCACATTCATTGTCAAAAAGAACATTTCAAGATCTATTTTGAAGTACGATACTCTCAGTGATAGGATAACACCGATATGCCTACAAGGAAGACCAGTTAATATGACTGTTATTCAGATTTATGCACCAACACTTAAAAGCTTGCAAATGGCCATCCAAGCAAGGTACAACAATTGGTCTCTATTCACCTGGAACAACAGAGGAAGAAGTAGAACCAGGAATAAGAGGAGGATTTAGAATATGTGGCTAATTGCCTACATGAACAACTGCCTCCTTTGCCATGAGACCAGAAAAACTGGATGGTTCCCTACTATCATTACTGAACGTTTTGATCAAAGATTCCATAAAAGAATATAGATCAAAAGGGGGAAAGTAAAACATAATTTCAAATTCTCATGAACTTTAAACTTTATGGAACCATGGAGGGTAGATAGAAACTGTTGTCCTCAGATAATCTTTAAATTTTAAACCAAAAATTCTGAAGTCCTTTTAACTAGGCTTAGCTTAACTAGTATAAAAATTCTGCCTTGAGAATTATGCTCTTTAAAGAACTATCTCTACAGGATCAAATTGCCAACAGCAATTTGAAAGATAATATAGGAACCTTAATGGGATATGAGTTTATGTTAATGAGGGAGGAATAACTCAGAAAAGGAGGGAGGATGGTTGCAAAATTTGAAGAACGTTATCAATTTTACACAATACATGGAGAAAGCAGGGCATTAAAAAGACAGGAAAGGAAGAGAAGACCAAAATGAGTATCAGAAGAGACTCTGAAACTTGCTCTTGAATGGAAAGTAGCTAAAGAAAATGGAAGAAATGATGAAGTAAAAGAGTGGAACAGAAGACTTCAAAGGGTGGTTTGAGAACCAAAGCAAAGTGTTATAATGAAATATGCAAAGATCTGGAGTTAGAGAACCAAAAGATAAGAACATGCTTGGCTTTATCAAGCTGAAAGCACTGAAGAAAAGATTTAAGCCTCGAGTTGCAATATTGAAGGAGTCTATGGGCAAAATGTGCTGCTATTCATAAATTTTTCACTAGCCATTTTTTCAGAAGTAGATTGCCAGGTCTTTCTTCCTAGTCTATCTTTGTCTGAAGTGCCACTGAAACCTGTCCACCATTGTTGACTATGCTGTTATTTGGAGTACCAGTGTCATAGTTTACAGCATTACAGCAACACACAAGCCACCACAATACAAAAACCTGACAGACGAGTGATGGTGCATTTGTATTGGACAACTCTGCTACAAAAGACCTCTTTAAAGTGTTAAAAAGTAAAGATGTCACTTTGAGGACTAAGGTGCACTGAAGTCAAGCCATGATGTTTTCAATCCTTCATATGCATGGGAAAGCTAGACAATGAATAAGGAAGATCGAAGAAGAGTTGATGCCTTTGAATTAGGGTGTGGATGAAGAACACTGAATGTACTATGGACTGCTACAAGAACAAACCAATCTGTCTTGGAAGAAGTACAGCAAGAATGTTCTTTAGAAGTAAAGATGGTGAGACTTCATTTCACATACTTTGGACATATTATCTGGAGGGACCAGTACCTGGAGAAGTACAGCATACTTGGCAAAGTAGAGGGTCAGGAAAAAAGAGGAAGACCCTCAGTAAGATGGATTGATACAGTGGCTGCAACTATGAGCTCAAACATAGCAATTATTGTGAAGATGGGACAGGACAAGACAGTGTTTTGTTCTATTGTACATTGGGTCACTATGAACTGGAATTGACATGATGGTGCCTTACAACAACCACAACACCATGTCTGTTGTTACTTGCACCTTGACTCTCTCACATGTGCTATTATATATCTCTGATGCTTTTTATTTTAGAAGATAAGGCCTGTGTGTTTAGTGTTGTTTGTTTAGTCTGGTACCAGGTGTGCACTATTACTTAATACTTTAGTGTGAAGGGTTATCTTATTAGTTTGAATCCTACCTTTTTTGTATTCTTAAGGAAACTTCTACCCTTTTATAAACAAGTGTATTTCCACTACTACTAGCAAAGTGATAGATTTCCACTGTGCAAGAAGGTAAGATTCTTTAATGTTTAATTTCTCTCAGGCTACCTAAAGTAGATCAAAACACAAATAGGCTTACTTTGAGTGATTGGTTAAAACTAAATCTAGAGTTCCGGCAAGATGGCGGACTAGGCAGAAGGATTGTGCAGACCCTCTTCAACAAAGAAAAGGGAAACCAATTAACACAGACACAGAAGATAATCGTGGACCCCTGAGCCTTGAAGGGAAGGATACAGAATTGGACTAAACCCCAATTAGCAGAAGAATTTGCGTGAAAATACCAAAAAAAGGAGACATACGGAGC